AGCAGGCTTCAGGGAGCCCGATGCGGGGCTCGATCCCAGGACCCTGGGATCATGACCTGAGCCGAAGGCAGACGCTTAACGACTGAGCCACCCAAGCGCCCCTACATATTGATTTTTAAGAGCTACTACGTTAAAGAAAGTAATCCTTTGACATATTTGTCACAATCTTTTTTTTAAGTTTGTTATTTTGCTTTATTAACGGTATTTTATGGCTTTTGGGTTTTGTGTCATTCAAAGGTTTAGAAAAAGGACACAATCAGATTTGCATATAAAAAAGAATAATGCTGTATGGAAAATGGATTGAAAGGGGTTAGCATGAAACAAGAGAAGAATTCAGGAGGCCAATTATTGAGGCTCTTTCAATAGTGAGAAATGATGGTAGCTTGAACTGGGATCAGGGAGGATATGGGGAAAAGTGAATTGATGTTTGGTTGGTTATGTAGTGAGGGAGAAATTCATCTGTACTCCTGCCCTTAGATTCCAGAAGGAACCTGTGAAATCCTTGTGAAAAATTATTTTTTGGGGGGTTGCATGGATGGCTCAGTTGGTTGAGCGTCCAACTCTGTTTCAGCTCAAATCATGATCTCAGAATTGTGGGATCGGGCCCTGCTTCGAACTCCAATCCCAGCAGGGAGTCTGCCTGTCCCTCTCCCTCCGCTCCTCCTCTCTCTCTGTCTTTAAATAAATAAATAATTAATTAATTAATTAAATTTTACAAAATTATTTTTGCTTAAGCTAGCTGAAATTCGTTTCCACCACTCTTACATAAAGTGCCTTAACAAATATACCTGCCAAAACTGTGTAAAAATCAATGTGCTAGTCTTGACCACAGAGTCTTAACAAATTTTCCAAAAATTTGAAGAAAAGTAATCCAGAATGTATAGTATTTTAATTTAAACCTATAATCCAAAGTGGATCTAGATATAACCTTTTTGAGTGATGTCAGAAACTGGCCAAGGCTGTTCCTCTGGCTTTTGCCGTGTTAGGCCATGTTCTCCCGAATACCCCAAGGAGTGGCTCAAGGCAGTGAGATTTCTGGGGTTCACACACACTGATCATTACTCACACAGTAGCTTCTCCTTTTGCAGCGGGTCTGGTATCACATCCTCTCTTTCCCCAAAAGAGCCACTCACCAGGTAGCGAGGATTATTCTTCCAAACATGCTGGTGCGTGGCTGAGTTTGGTAAACTGCCTCTCTGAGCTACAAATACGCAATGTAATTAAAGGTGCTGGAAGGCCGGTTCATCACCTGTAACATCTAGGTCAATACCAAAACCACTAGTACTATCCAAACTGCCACTGCTTCTGTTACCACCCATCACCACCACAGGCCTTTACAATGAATATATCCCATTTTCCAAAGAACTTTCATATTCCAATTTCCGTGAGTGAAGTCTCATTTTCTCCACTTTACAGTGAGGAGAGACTTGAGAAGCAGCATGGTAGGGTGGAAAGAGAAAGGTGCCCAAAGCTGCTTTGTCTTGAGGGCTCTGTTGAATCTGGCAAACTGGAAATTCAGTTTTCAACAAATTAGGAATGACTTTAAAAATGAAATAGTAAGAAAATTTAATAAGGTTGATAGAAAATCAATATTGAAACTTAATTTTATTTCTAAATACCAGAACAAAGTTAGAAAATCAAAATATAAAGAGATACCATTTATGGTAACATAACAATATGAAGTTCCATGAAAAAAATATAAATCTTTACTGGGAGACATTAAGCAAGATCTATGTAAATGAAGAAATAGAGTATATTCATAGGTTGCAGAACACCCTCCCCAAATAAAAATAAAAAAGAGATTGCAGAACCCAGTATTGGAAAACTCTCATTTCTTGTGACATTTGATCTACAGATACAATGCAATCCCAATTTTTTAAACATCACAAGCTAATTGTAAAATTACATGGAAAAGGCAAGAATAGCCAAGACACTTCTGAAGAACACGATGGAGGACATGTCTTTCCAGATTATCAAGACTATTTTAATGCCATATGGTGTAATTAAGAAATATTAGTACAAGGATAGACAGACCCTTGTATACACAGGCACTCAAAAGAGGTGACATAGCAGATCAATGGGGAAAGCAAGTACTTTTCACTTCCCTTCATCTTTCCCTCATGGTGCTAGAAAAATCTGTCATTAATTTATCCAAGTGTAAGTCTCCAGTTAATCTAACCATTTACTCCATGAAGGCAGGAAAGGTGATGCTCGGTAAGAATACGCTATTACCTTTAAAGTAGCCATAGTATTGAAGATGATGGTACATAAAGTCTTCATAGGGATCAGGAAGAGCCTGTGAAAGGAAAAGCCCTATCGATTAGGAAAGTCCTTTCAAATAATACTGAACTCTTAACAAAAGGCACACAAGAATTGTTGCAAAGGACAACCATTCTTGAGTTCCTGAGGACTTCTGTAAACAAACCAAGTGAAAGACATTCATACAAATTATTCTATCTTGGGGATCAAGATCTCCTGCCAGAAAAAGGTGCCACCAGAATATGCCTTCTGATCTAGTAGTAGTGGATTTCTGTGGAGTTCCTGGAGAGGGGAGTGTACCCACCTCCTGCTTTAGCTCAGTTTCCAATGCTGGGAACATGTTACTTCTGCATGGTATGCTGAAGACAAGTCAGTGACACCGGCATCCGGCCACAACCCCTGCCCAGTTTCCAAAAGGGCAGCCGATTACACAGAAGCTAAAAAACCAGAGCAGGACAACTGAAAAAAACTGCCGATTTCACCCCACCATCCTCCACCTGCGCGGCTCTCACGCGACGTTAAGAAAACTTGTCTCGGGCGCCTGGGTGGCTCAGTTGGTTAAGCGACTGCCTTCGGCTCAGGTCATGATCCTGGAGTCCCAGGATCGAGTCCCGCATCGGGCTCCCTGCTCGGCAGGGAGTCTGCTTCTCCCTCTACCCCTCCCCCCTCTCATGTGCTCTCTCTCATTCTCTCTCTCTGAAATAAATAAATAAAATCTTAAAAAAAAACAAAAAACAAAACTTGTCTCAGCGCTCCCTCTTCCCCGCCAATCCAGCCTCTCAAACATACAAGCACCTGGCTACTGGTTCCTACTCTGAGGCCCAGAGGCACACCTGAGGAATGAGGGAGGGCGGCTTGTCTTCCAGTCTGGGCCTCCCGCGGCACCTGGACCCTTGGGGCTCCCATGCTTCCCTCTCGGAGGAGGGAGATGCCCACCACCAGGACGCAACAAGAAAGTTTAAGAAATGGGGATGGAGGGATCCAACGGAGTTGCCTCGGAGTAGATAAGAAAGGTCAGGGGCCCGGGAAGTGGGCCCTGAAAATGGAATTCAGGGGTTCAGGGCTTCCTGGTGCCGGGGAAGGTGAGGAGGGGTAGTTTCTCTGAAGAGTCGGAGAGGGAGCGTAGAGATTTCCTAGGAGGGCAGAGGGAAGGGTGCGATTCCCCTCCGCTCCCGGCCTGTCTGCGGCAGCAGGGGTGTGCGCCGCGCCTGCCGCGGCAGAGAAGCCAAAGCGAGGCGGGAGGCCACCACACTGCAGGAGACAGCGGCCGAGCCTCGCAGCAAGCAGAGAACACGCTCCCGGCGCTCGCCCGCCACCGCTTTCTGCTAGGGCCCCGGTAGCCTAGCAACCGCGAGGCGGAAACGGGAGGGCAGGACGGCAGGACGCTTCCGGGGAGCGAGGCCCCGCCTCCCGGGCACGGGTGGGACCCTGGGAAATGTACCCGGGTGCGCCAGCCTCCGGTTTTTCAGGCGCATTGCTCCTTTCATCCGATGTTGCAGCCCCGCTTCTGGGGCACCGAAATTGGATTGGTGAATACAATGCCAGTTAGTGGTCCTCAAAAATATTCTTAACTTCCTTAAGCATCCTATTCTTGGCTTGGGCTCAGGTCGTGATCTCAAGCCCTGCCTTGGCTCGGGCTCCCCGAGGAGTGTGCTTAGGATTTTCTCTCCCTCTCCCTCTGCCCCTCCCTCCCTTTCGTGCTCTCTGTAAAATAAATGTTGGGACGCCTGGGTGGCTCAGTCGTTAAGCGTCTGCCTTTGGCTCAGGTCATGATCCCAGGGTCCTGGGATTGAGTCCCAAATAGGGTTCCTTGCTCGCTGGGAGCCTGCTGCTCCCTCTGCCTGCCACTCCCCCGCTTGTGCTCGCTCTGACAAAATCTTTTAAAAAAATAAATCTTAAAATTCCAAACTTCTTTGCCATTCCTTAGCTTTAGGTTAACTGTCAGGTGTTGGCTCAAAGGGAGCGGTTTCCCCTCTCCGACCTTGTATCTCACCACCCCATAGCTAGATTTGAAAAATTACAAGAAAACTGAAACCACACTTTTTGACCATCAAATTGTTGACTCTAAAGCGCTCCATTCTGTTAAGATGGTAACAAAGCGTGGCTCAGTCATTATCCCAGGGTCCTGGGATGGAGCCCCATATCCTGCTTATCCAGGAGCCTGCTTCTCCCTCTCCCACTGCATCTCGCCCCTCAGTGTTCTCTCTCGTTCACTCTAACAACAACAACAAAAAGATAGTGACAAAGGTACTGGTACTCTGCAGCAATTCCTACAAGTCTAGAAAACGGCTAGACAGTTAAAGCAAAAGCTTTAATTGCTAGTTGGTATTTCTTCAAATTTGCTCTATGCAAATTACAAGAAAAAGTTTGTATACAAAATGTCACCCCAACCTGCATAATGGGTAAATAAAATTCAACGCACTGGTATACAGGACATCGAGTAGGTAAAACTTCTCAATTACGTGCAAATAAATAGATTGGAATAAAATTCAAACTATTAATTGTTATCTTTGGTTAGCTTTATATGAATGTAACCAAGGTAGAGATTACCTTTATAATCAGAGAAAAAAGCGATCTTCAAAACCACATTACATCATTTCCAGGATTTTAGGTCAAACATTAGCTAATATTATAATACAGTACAAGCTCCAAAATTTAAGTCATAGAACCTTCTGGTGCCAGAAACCTGTTTTTCTCACCCTGTCCCCACCCCCACTCTTACTCCCACTGACTCAAGATCCTGCCGCTCTTCTTTTTCCTGAGAGCTGTTCTTCAATTTTACACATGCTTTACCCTGTGTTTGGTAAGAAAAAACAATTAAGACTGGCCTTGGGCGCCTGGGTGGCTCAGTTGGTTAAGCGACTGCCTTCGGCTCAGGTCATGATCCTGAAGTCCCTGGATCAAGTCCCGCATCAGGCTCCCTGCTCGGCGGGGAGTCTGCTTCTCCCTCTGACCCTCCCCCCTCTCATGTGCTCTCTCTCAAATAAATAAATAAAATCTTTAAAAAAAAAAAAGACTGGCCTTAAAACAAGTCTTGATGACACAATCATGAAATAACAGCCTTAGAAGAGCAAAAGGATAACCAATCAGAAGTATAAAAAAAGCTTTATTAGAGCATATATACAAATTTACAAGGCCAGAAACTGGAGAAATACAAACAGCTTTAAAACACAATTTGCCGTTTCTTCAGTTTAAAGTGACTTTTACCTGATTGTGATACAACAGAAAGTACAGAACAGTAAACTGCTTTTTAAATACTGGAATTTTATGGAGAGTACATTCACATAAAAGGAAGGTGAATTTTGGAACAAAGTTAAGACAATGGAGACACATTAATACATACAGTGGCTCTTGTTATATTTCCTGCCACACTGATGAGGGGAAATCCTCAAACTTAAAGACAGGATCACCTGCTGCTGCCGGTACTGAAATTTGAATCCGCCACTAGTGTGTGAAATGACTGAGCTACCAGTTCTAGGTGTGAGAAAGAGCTCTCCAGAGTGTGTGGTCATCTGTCAGCACAAGGGAAACGCCTCACTATACCTCAGCACTTGAGGGATGGCAGGCTGGAAGAGGTCAGATTCCGATAATCCCAGTTAAGCAAAACAGAATACAGAGCTGCCTTCTTAATTGCACTTGTTCTGGAGTAGAAGTTAATGAGAGAGAGCCGCACTAGGAACTAGGTGAGCCTCTATGAGACGGAAAATCCTTCACTTTTTGTCAGGGAGTCCTCTGCTGATGTAGCACACTCCTGAATCACATGTTCCAGATCAATGAGGTTAATGTACCTGATACGCTGAGCTTGCCAGTGTGAGAATAAAGGCAGCCATGTCAAAGCATTTGGTCAACCTCACCCTTCAGCAAAACAAAAATTACATTTCACAAATGTGAAAACGCTGTACGTGTGTATGCTTTTGCCCAGGAAATTCATATGCTCTCCCTCATAACATTTATAGTTTATTGACAACAGTAAAACTGGTGAAGACTCTGAACTGAACGCAAAGAAGAAAAAAATCAGTAATAAAAAACCCCCCGTCCCCCCCCACAAAACTATGTGTTTGGAGCCATTTTCCTCCTCTTCAGTCTTGCTCGCCAATCCTCAGGAAGCGCTTCAAAATTAGCATTCCTCTCTGCCATGCCACTGTGAAAACAACATAGAGATTACTTCACTGGGAAGAAAAAGGAGGAAACTGTTCACAAAAACCAGTACCTGACACTGAAACTCTGATCTTTGTTCATGAATGTACTTCAAAAAGTTTCTCAACTACCAATATACTCATCAAGTTTCTTAATTCTGATGCATCAACCAAAGACACACACGCTCTCTCTACAGTTGTATGAACACATAAATGCATATTTTCTTTTATCTATCTCCTGTAACCATTAAAGCCACACTGAAGGAGTACAATTCTTTTTTTTTTTAAATTTATTTATTTGAGAGAGACAAATAGTGACACAGAGAGAGAGAGAGAGAGCATGCACAGCAGGGAGAGCAGCAGAGGGAGAGGGAGAAGCAGGCTCCCCGCGGAGCAGAGAGCCTGACGCGACGCGGGGCTCCATCCCAGGACCCTGGTATCATGACCTGAGCCAAAGGCAGACACTTAACACACTGAGCCACCCAGGTGTCCCAGGAATACGACAATTCTTGTGAAAGTTTATCTTAGTCCCAAAGAGTTCCAATTCTTTAGGAAAGATATATTTTAACCCTCAATTTACTGTCAGGAAGCTTTGGTTTTTGAAATTCTTTTTTGAACAGTTCTATTTGTAAGGACTGATACCTCATGGCTTATTCAATTATTTTCAAGATAGATTAAGCTCAGATTCTATCTTACAATAACTAGAATGGATGCATTGGACCCTTTTATAAATCTAAAATAATCTAATTACAGAATCTTTGTGATTCCCCACCTATCATCTTGAAATAGTCTGCTATTTCATTATAGGAATTAATCATTACTCAATTCCCAGCAATACTAAATAAGACAAAAAAATAATAAGAAAACCGAATAATGGAATCACCCACAAGGATGAGGCAAAAGTGCAATAAACGGTCACTAACAGTACCCCTCAGTTTTCTTATTGTGCTGCCCCAAATAAAGAGTATACAACGGGACGCCGGGGTGGCTCAGTCAGTTAAGTGTCTGCCTTCGGCTCAGGTCATGATCCCAGGGTCCTGGGATCGAGTCCCGCATTGGGCTCCCTGTTCCACGGGGAGCCTGCTTCTCCCTCTGCCTCTGCCTCTCTCTATCTCTCATGAATAAATAAATAAAATCTTAAAAAAAAAAAAAAGAGTATACAACCTTTCAAGGTAGTAAAAAAGTCTGGAGGCAACATCTTCATAGTCCCCTCCCACCCCAATATTATTATTACTATTTTTTAAGTAAGCTCCGTGCCCACCGTGGGGCTTGAACTCACAACCCCAAGATCAAGAGTTGCATGCTATAGCAACTGAGCCAGCCAGGTGCCCCCACCCCGCAAATATTAGACAAGCCAGAAGATAAATGCAAACAGACAGTGGCACTGTACATTCTAATTATGATGGTAGAACTCATTGGGTAAGTAAAATTTCAGACTATGGGTATTAAGAGGACCATATCCTAGAAGAATTTTCTCAAATTTGAGATTGATAAGAGTATATTTCTTTTTTTTAATTAAAGATTTTATTTATTTGACAAAAATACAGGGAGAGAGGGAACACAAGCAGGG